CTCTTCTAATCTACCCCTGACTAGACCTGCGGTCTTCCGACTACCGTGATATCGAGTGGGGCTGGACTCCGATCGGCCGTCTGGACTGGAGGCGAGCTGGTCTCGGGATGGCAGAGAATACTAGTAGAGATAGCTTGAAGATGAAGAGAAAAATGTGTAAAGAATTATGGAACGAGCTGTAGGAATGTTGACTTCAGCCTGGTGAGAATTAAACCAGCAATGCCCTCTGAATAGTGAGAACTTAGGGTGTCCACAACCAACTACTTTGTATCTACCAACTAACTAAAGATTCAGCGGATTATTATTATGGATTATTCCTGTAACTGAGTAGTTAGTAGAGCAAATCCCCACCAATTCGGGAATTAGTTTTGTCGGCACCAATCAGCAATTGGCTTGAAGCTATGGTCAATCTCACGATCCTCTCTCTCCGAAGCCTTTCTTTCTCTCTTTCTCTCTCTCTCTCTCTTCCTCTCTCCGCCCCTTTCAGTCCGCCCTCCTTTTTTCTTTTTTCTTTTTTATTTTTTTTCTCCCCTTCGCCCTTGTCGCCCCGATCTTCCCTCTAAACCAACTGAAACTAACCCATTCAGAAACAGACTGCGTGTAATTCATGTGTGCATGTCTGCTTTTGTGATGGGACTGATTGATCCAGCTAGATTGGGATTGTCTGAACTTTACTTACTTGACTATCTACTTACTTCCCTCTCCCGTCCAATGGGTCCGTTCCATCCACTATTATTCCCCTGAACGTCTTGTCAAACCTGCCTCTCCTCCCCATTGAATGATTATTGCCCCGTGCCAAAACTAAACGCCTCCTGCCCTCGTCACCATGAGGGTGCGTCGATCCTGAACCCATTGACCAACGATTGTTTCTGATCTTCCCTCCTCTTTGTGTCTTTCACCCCCCTTCCCTTCCCGTCTTTACCTGTTCTTGTCAATTGTCCCGGGTTTGGCGCTCAACCTTGCCAATTAGAGTGTCTCCTCCCTCATGGCCCCAGGCTGGACTTCTCCGCCTGCCTCGGGCGCTTTACCCTCAAGCCCAAACCATAATCATCTCCATTCCTCGTCCCAGACTCATCATCAGTTGTCTCCATCTCCTGTATCTGATGACCCTGGCGCTTGGCCAAGTCCTCCTCCTCCTCATCCTCGTCCTCCCTCCTCTGCTTCCTCCTCCACCTCCGCTGCCGCCGCTGCTGCTGGTCCTGTCACCTCTCCTACTTCCCATTTGCCGCCCTCTACTACCTCTCTGGCCTCTCCCCCTCCTTCGGCCACCCTTGTGCGCAGGAAACCGCTTCCCCAGGATGCTGTGATCCTGTCGCGCCAATCCAGGCCTCCTTCCTCGCCCCTGCTACCCTTCTCCCCCCCGGGCGACTCGCCTGCAGATCCGCTGTCACTCCCTGTCTCTTCCTCTCCTCTCGCTGCTGGCCATCATAACTTGGCCTACTCCCCTGCTTCAACCTATTCCTTCTCCGGTTCCGTGTATGAAGTTGACGGCCAGGAGGAGGACGACGACTCCCTTCATTCGGTTCCAAGGAACCTGGACAGGTATGACAGCCGTTGCCCCTGCCCGTGCTCTCTTCCCCTCACCTTCTCCCCCCTGCTCCCCCTCACTCTGGTGCTTGCGGTCCTTGCAATCTCACGCTACTTCTGCAGCCGGGAGAAGGCCTTTCCATGTCCACTTTTCCCTTCAGACGTGGCAAGACTAATCTCGGACTTTTTCTACTCTTCTCCAGATCTCCCCGTGGTGGTCCGTCCGCGTCCCATCTACGTATAGATACATCCGCAGCCTACGTGGACGACGACGAGGAGAGCAGCAACGCCAATACCCACAACCCCAGATACTCCTCTCAATTCTCGAATGGGACGTCCCTACACAGCCGTCTTGTGAGCGAGCCATTCGTTCCCATCCTCAAATCGCCGGCATTCCTCCCCAAGCGCCCCACGACCATGGCCTTGCACCTCCCCTCACGCCGTCCGCCACCGCTACATATCGATTCCCCCAGCCGGTCCTCGTCCGGTGACTCCAAACAGCCGAAAACACCGGCGAACAAGATCAGTTCCTTTTTTGGGTGGCGCGCTACAACATCTTCACCCGGCGCGGAATCCTCCAGTACCGAGATCTCCGAGACCGGTCGTTCCCCGGTGCCTTCCCCGATGCCTGCCTCCCTCCACAGTGCGTCCTTCTCCATAACACCGTCCACCACGGTGCCCTTCGATCCCTCCAAGCCGCAGGTGCCTCTCCCGCAGCGAAATCCATCTCTGAGCAGTGGAAGTATCCTGGACTCCAGGGCGACGACGCTGGTGACCGAGCTTGAGAATGAACTGCGGGAGATCAGCGCAGAGCTGGCCGGGTCCATCCGGCGGGAGATGGAGTTGGAGGATCTGGTGGAGAGATTGCAGTCAGATATGCCCTTAGATACCCCCAATCGCCGTACCAGCGATTATTTCTCCGATTCAGGCAGCAGCTCCATCCGCTACGCGTTCGAGTCGGGTGGCCGGGTCGAAGACATTGAAAAGTACAAACGCACTGCAGAGCAGGAGCGGGCTCAGATCAAGGTGGATCTGGGCCAAAAGTTGCAAGAAGAGCGCAGTCGCCGGGCAGCCTCGGAAGCACACGTCCAGATACTAGAGTCCCAAGTCCAGCAGGTATGACTTCCATTCAGCACAGAGAACTTGAACTCCAAGACTAACACATATTAGTTGCGACGGGAGAGAGTAGATCTCTCGGACCTGTCCTCCCGGACAAGGGAGCTCGAAGCCGCATTAGATGATACCCGTAGGAAGCTGGCCGAAGAGCGCCAAATCAAGGATAATTTTGAAGACTTGTTGACCGCTATGCGAGTAGAACTCGAACAGTTGCGAAACGAACGGGATCATATGCGTGACACTGTTATCCCTCAATTGCAACAAGGCAGCCAATCTGCCTCGCCTCCATCCGATCCGTCGGAAGTCCAGCGGTTGATGGAGGAAATCGAAGCGCTGAAGATCGAAAACGCCTCTCTCGCCCAGCTGCAAGGCAGTCGATTCGCTTCAATTGCCGAAGAAGATGGCATGCCCACTGCCAGAAACGTCGGATTGGGACTGTCGCGGTCGAATTCGTTGGCGCGCGTGCGCACTAAGCCGTCGCCCGGTCTCTCCCGCTCCAGTTCTTTGTCGCGCTCGAATTCCGTATCCGCCAAGGAGCGCAATGAGTCTCCCCGCGAGAACCTGGCGGATAGAATCGAAGATGTTGAGGCGCAGCGCGATGCGCTTCACCAGTCTCTTCGGCGTCTGCTCGATCGCCAGGCTCACGATGCCCGTGAGTACGAGAAGCGGCTTCAGCTCATGGAGATGGAGCTTGCGCGCGCACAGCAAGTGGGTTCTCCGCGCAAGCTGGGCTATGAGCGCGAAGTACGCAACTTGCGCGAAGAAGTAAACGACCTTCGGCAGCGTGCCGAGGAAGCTCTGGAACAGAAGTGGCAGTGCGAAAAAGGATTGGCAGGTCTGAAGATGGACCTGGACCGGGCTGAACAGGAGACCACCTCCCTGCGCGTAATACTCCAGGAGCACGACATCACCGTTCCTGAAGACCTCGAATGTGATCGGGATGGATTCGCCGAGGTCCTCGCAACCTCTTCGTCCCTGGAGTCCGCTTACAGGCAACTTCAGGCGGATCGGGAAATCGCCGAAGCCAGCGCGGCCCAGTCGCCCCTCGCCGAGCAAAACTCACTCGTGGAGTCGGTCAACCGGACCGACGTGCTTGCGCAACATGTGCAACAGCAGCTGGCCAGCAACAATGCCCTGCGGAGCCGTCTGGCCGAGGCCATTGGCAAGGGTGAAAAGGAGCAGCAGCTGTCAGCCGCTCGGATCAATGAGATGCAGGCCCGTCTCAAGGAGATGGAGGACATCCTGCTGATGGCGCAGCAGTACTCCGAGGACGAAATGGCGCGCCACGAAGAAGAAGTGCGCGCTCTTGAGGAGAACCACAATGCGCAACTAAAGCGCATGAAGAACGGCGCTCGCAGCCCTGCGGCCTTGTCGCCCATGCCTCCGACCACGCCTTTTGGCTCACGGTCTCCTCGTCTGGACTTGACAACCAGTGGTAGGGGTATTGCTTTGGATCAGGCTATCCAATCGGAAACACTGGAACGGCGGGTGAAGGAGCTGGAGAAGCTCCTTCGCGACGCTGATTCGGAGATGGAAGAAGTTGTGAGCCGGATGAACCGGGCGCAAATTGAAGTCGCGGAACTTCAGTCTGATCGGTAAGTCGTGAGAGACGTGTTACCTTGAGGTCATTGCTAACAAACCGCAACAGGGACGATGCACTCCGCCAGACCCGCAAACTCCAGGCCGAAATCATGGCCCAACGCGAGACGTTCAGGACTCTGATGGCTTGAACGACGGCATATTAGATTTTTCTCGTTTCTTCGCTGTATAAAATAATCACATGGGAGGTGTTCTGGCGTCGACACTCTAGCGTGTGACATGTTTTTGGAAGCACCTATTTGTTTTGGTCGGGTGCAGCGCATACTCCGATGCTTGTATATGGTCACTTGGGGTCCATGGCCAGATGGGCATGTATATATCTCACGATCACGACGTGATCATGTATAATTGCATAGATGTACAGTTGTCAGCTGAGTATATTGAGATGAAAAATTCTAGCAGTGTAAAGTAAGAATGTGCAAGGAAGAACGAGAAAGTTGACTTATCGCATGCCTGCGAGTTCCGTGATATCACGGGATCCACCCCCGGACTGGCTGCGGTGTTTGCCTGGTTTGGCTTTGCGCTCGGCCGCTAATTGGTCCGCGCATGGCCGTATTGTCTCTGGCGCATCTGGCCGAAGGAAAGTCCCGATCTCTCCTTCATCCATCATCTTCTCTTTGCATCTCCTTTGTTTGGCTTCTTCCTTCCGACCATGATACTTTCCACTTTATAAGAACTCTCCGTATATAGCACAAGGTTTTTTTCTGCAACCTTATCCATCCCAGATTACCCCACGACAAACCTTCATCGTCCAATCGTCAAGGCATAAAAAGAGAGTGGCCACCTCGCCTACCTCCATACTCTCTTCCTACCAGATTACTACATCTGGGTGACAGTGAGCTCCATTAATCAAAATCACAATGGACTTTCTCCCAGGTAATACCTCAATCGCAACCAATACCTCCTACCCCATCAACACCACCTCCACTCTCCCAATCTCCCAAACCAACATCAACAATACTAACCACCCACTCACCAACCTAACAGACTCCCTCCTCTCCCTAATCCAACAACATCCAACCTTCCAAACCCTCACCTCCACCCCCATCGCCTCCCACCTCGCCTCCCTCCACACTACCTACCTAACCCCCTACGTCTCCCACTGCCGCTCCGCCTACCTCGACCCCTACCTCATCCACCCGCTCGCCTCGCTCCTCACCTCCTCCATGCCCATGCCCGACCTCGTCTCCATCTTCATCCTCGCCCTCGTCCTCATCATCTCCCTCAAGATCCTCGACTATGCTCGCCGTCTCGTCATGTTCTGGGTGAATCTTGCCCTGAGGTTGCTGTGGTGGGCGCTCGTGCTGGGCGCCTTGTGGTATGTGTATTCAGTGGGGATCGAGAAGACCGGAAGGGATTTGGGATGGCTTGTTGGTGTTGCGGGGGGGTTCGTGGATGGGTTTAGGGATGGGGTTGAGGGCGGGAGGGCTGTTACGGGATCTGGGGGTGGTGTTGGGGGGTATGCGACGGGGATGGGTGGGGGGAGGAGGTATTAGTTTTGGGTTGTGAGGGGAGAGTGTTATTAAAAGAATGCAGTTGGGTTTGAGTTGGAGTTGTTGGGAACTTGGTAATAATCATGGATTGGGTTGATGGTTTATGGTAGATGATAAAGAGTGGGATTGGAATGAACACCGCAGTTCGAGCCGCGGTCCGAGACCGGCCGGCCTGGACTGAGCTGGGGCTACTACGTACTACGAATAAACGATTGCATGTTGCATGGTTCGGTTGAATGTGAATGTGAATTGAGTTCAGTTGCCTTGAATTGAGCGGTGTAGAGAGTATAATAGATATGTGGTGCTATGGTATGCTAAGCCATGTATACTGCAAGGATTGAGGAATTTGTTGTTTTTTTCTTTTGGGTGATAAGATAAGACAAGAAGAAACAACTCATATACATACTACTTATCTATCTATCAATTACTACTTTCTGCAGTTGAATAGCTGTTTACGGAGCTATCTACCAAGTGACACGAAAGAGATGCAGGTGCAGGTTGCATATGATATGACATTATCATTGGTTCGGTTTTAAGAGACATCTTAATTATAGATAATAGTTGTAAGGGGTAGTAGTAGTATGTGGTTGGCACAATGCCATAACATGATCCATCTCGTTCCTTCAGCTCACATTCCTGTTTCAGGTGGATCGGTCGGTCGGACAATTAGATAATTCCCGTCGGTCTTTAAGTCGTATCCGGATACGAGCACTGCATGCTATCTGCCTTCAATTTGGCCCCCATATCAAGTGGGTAGTAGATGCTTATGGCAGAACAGCGACGAGTGTTTTGTTGGGTGGGTTGGGTATTGTTGTTGCTGTCGGTGACTCAGCAAGGTAGCGGGTTCCACAGCATCCAGGCACGCACAAGCTACCTAGGTAACAACAACAGGAGCTCTATATAACTCGACGGAGTGAGAAGTTAGGATGCGCTAGCGCATGCGCCCCCGAATCCTGACGTGATGGCGTAATCACGGCGCGCCGGCGGCAGCGGCAGCGGCAGCGCCAACAACGGCTTACGGCATCTCACTCAGCTCAGTCTTCGTAATCGACCTCTTGGGCATCGGAAGGCTCGCGGGGCTCCTGAGCCTCATGGTACTGAATGGCATCGTCGATGTGACTCAGCACCGCGGCAACACTATCTTCATCCTGCACGTCGAGCTTGAGGAACGAGACCATGCTGAAGTCGTCGATGAGCTGCCCGACCGCGCGGTTCAATTGCTGGAACGATCCTCCGCTCAGCATTGCGTCCTTGGACGATGGGTCTCCAGTAACCACTGATGACTCCTCATCGTCACCCGCCGTGCCCAGCAAGTTATTCACATCCACGTTAGTGAACTGCTTCAATTCCTTGCGCGAAACCATGTCCTTGACTTGGTCCATCTTGCTCAGAATATTCACGTGCGGCATTTCCAGCATCAACATGGCCGACATAGCGCTCAGCGTGCCGGCGAAGAACTTGGCTTTGTCCACGACGAACGTGCTCTCGAGGAGATATGCCGCGCAGAGACTGATATTCAGCGGGCCCTGGCGGGATAGGAACTGTACCAGGGAAGGGAGCAGCGGGATGTGTGTGTAGAGCTCGATTTGACCCGGCATGTCGAAGATGATGAGGTATTCTTCGCTGAGAGGGTCGAGGGCCTCGGAGAGGAACTCAAGGTTCTGGAGGAGGAACTCGAAGCAGTAGATGAGCCCGCCATTGGGACCTAGTCCCAGCTCTTCCATCACATCTTCGAGAGTGATGAGTTCGCGGATGTCGAGGTCCGGCTCGTAGTTGAAGGTCTCTGCCGCGGGATCGAGGTTCACGTAGAAACAACTGCGACGCGTGTTTTGGAGGTGCTGGATGATAGAGCTGCAGAAGGTGGTTTTGCCCGCGCCAGCGGGGCCCATTACTAGGACGCCGTATTTGGACATGCTGACGGCGGCACTTTGAGTTGGTGGGTGCTGATGCTGATGTTGAAGCTAATAGTGGTGGAAAAGGTAGGTATGGCGCGGGGTCGAATGCTGACAAGGAGGGGAGCTAGTTGCTACTAGGTTCGGAGTTGCAGGAAAACCCAAGGAAATTCACGCAATTCTCCCGTAAGCGAGCCGGAATCCGAAGGATGATCTGAATCAGGTTGGAGATGGAGTAAAGGTGGGAGAGGAGGGGAGCTTTCGGTAGTTCGCAGAGTAATTCAACCCCGAGTTTGCAGGTTAAAATGAAATTGAAGAAACTCCGAAGGCTCGTCGTCCGTTGAGAGAGACGCCGATTGGCTGATGGCACAATAGAGGGGGGATCTCTTCGGTTGGCAAATCAAAATCCGCCGCCGATGCATGTTTTTCCTTTGGGTCTTTTTTTTTTTCAATTCTTTTTTACTTTTTTCTGCCTAGTCCGACCGCCGGAAGAGATGGCGCCATCGGAGACACATTAATACGAGATTCCCCTCTCTGCCTCCTTCTTTTCTCTTCTTTCCCCTCCTCCCTTTTCCCTCTTCCCTCCCATTTTCTTACCTTTCTCGCTTCTTTAATATCTACTCTATTCCCCCCCCTCCCTAATCTTTCTCCTCTTCTTCTCTCCTCGTCTCCTCTCTCCTTTCTTCACTTTCCCCCTATCTATACATATCCCCACCCCCACTCTTCACAATGGGTAGCGTCGCCAACGGATCTACTTTCCTCTTCACCTCCGAGTCCGTCGGAGAGGGTCACCCCGATAAGATTGCGTATGTCGAACCTCAATTCTACCTGGCGCACTCGGTTCATGTCTTGCTGACAGTTTTTTCACAGTGACCAGGTCTCCGATGCCATCCTCGATGCCTGCCTTGCTGAGGACCCTCTCTCTAAGGTACGGACCCCTCATCGGTTCTATCTGAGTCGGATTTTTCTTGCGCACCCCTTGGCCCCTTGATTGGCCGGCGCTTTTCCAATTCGGCTTGTCCACCTTGCATGTGAATGTCTTGAATTAACATGTTGCCGTTAGGTCGCTTGTGAGACCGCTACCAAGACTGGTAAGTTTTTTTTTTCTCCTTCCCGCCCCACCCATCTAATCTTATCGGGACTGTGCGCTGACCCACGTTACAGGTATGGTGATGGTCTTCGGTGAAATCACCACCCAGGCCAAGCTTGACTACCAGAAGGTCATCCGTGGTGCCATCCAGGACATCGGCTACGATGCCTCCGAGAAGGGTTTCGACTACAAGACTTGCAACGTCTTGGTTGCCATTGAGCAGCAGTCGCCCGATATCGCCCAGGGTCTGCACTACGAGGAGGCCCTCGAGAAGCTCGGTGCTGGTGACCAGGGTATCATGTTCGGTTATGCCACCGATGAGACCCCTGAGCTCCTCCCCCTCACCGTCGTCCTCTCTCACAAGCTCAACAAGGCCATGACTGATGCCCGCAAGAACGGCACCATCCCTTGGCTCCGCCCCGACACCAAGACCCAGGTCACCATCGAGTACGCCCACGACAACGGTGCTGTCAAGCCCCTCCGTGTGGACACCATTGTCATCTCCGCCCAGCACAGCGACGAGGTCTCCACTGAGGAGCTCCGCAAGGTCCTGAAGGAGCAGATCATCAAGTCGGTCATCCCTGCCAACCTCCTGGACGACCGCACCGTCTACCACCTCCAGCCCTCCGGCCGCTTCGTCATCGGTGGTCCCCAGGGTGATGCCGGTCTCACCGGCCGTAAGATCATCGTCGACACCTACGGTGGTTGGGGTGCTCACGGTGGTGGTGCCTTCTCCGGTAAGGACTACTCCAAGGTCGACCGCTCGGCTGCCTACGTTGCTCGTTGGATCGCCAAGTCCCTCATCAACGCTGGCCTTGCCCGCCGTGCCCTCGTCCAGCTCTCCTACGCCATTGGTGTTGCTGAGCCCCTGTCCATCTTCGTCGAGACCTACGGCACCTCCTCTAAGACCTCCGATGAGCTCGTCCAGATCATCCGTGACAACTTTGACCTCCGTCCCGGTGTCATCGTCAAGGAGCTGGATCTGGCTAAGCCCATCTACTTCAAGACCGCCAAGAACGGTCACTTCACCAACCAGGAATTCTCCTGGGAGAAGCCCAAGGCCCTCAAGTTCTAAGCGAGTCGCTCGCAATGACTGTGGACCTGCTTCTCTTCTGAGTCTGTTTCCTTTACGAATGTGATGATTTTGCTTTGTTTTCAACAACTCAAAGCACGAGCATAGACATGTCAAAAAAGCAACTTTTATGTTTGGATGTTTGTTCAACTTTTTGCATGGTCTCTCGGCAAGAGACGGGTTCGGCGAGGATAAATTCAACATGATACCACTTTTTCATATACCTTGGGAGGGTTGTTTCGGCGTTTTCGGGAGCGAAAGTCTTCAACACTGCCTCCTCCGGGCTTAGGACCGATAGGAACTTCGAGTCTTATCTGCGGGGGATGCGTGCCATCCGGCGTGATGGTGCGTGTCCCTGACGCACTGGGGTTCGAATGATGCTCCGACAGGAGTGATATAGATGGCTTGAGAGTGATATCTCGCCATTTGCTAATCTAAACATTAGCACATAGATTAATGAATGCATATGCATGGAGTAGTATTGTGCCTGTAACTACCTTGTAGATTGTAGATGGACAAGTGGAGCGATTTGAAACGATCTGAAGTCAAATTAGTAGAGATTGTTCCGTGGTCATGTCCGACTTAGGGTTAGGGGCATACGAGTCTTATCGCGGTCGCAAGATCGGGAATACTCCGTATACGTGACTCTGACCATAGATAATATTCCGTTAAACTTGTCTATACAATCCAAACTCTCCAAAATCTCAAGTCTCAGAATCCGATGGTCTGCGAATCCCCGTGGGCGGGCACTTAACAAAATCTGCTATACTCGGCAACCCCTCCGCCGCGACGCGTGCCGCCCAGTTCTCCGCCGACGTGACTCGCGTCACCCACCGCCCCAGGGAGAGAAGGCCTCGACTTACCACCACAACTACTACTTCTGTTCTAGGTTACCCCATTAACAAGGCCCATTGCACATACAAGATCATCACGCAGCATATTCTCCATACCGACTCGATTTACGAAATGCTGCACTCATAATACATACCCAGACTGGCCAATATACGCGTTCAGCTACACACATCCACCATCCATGGCAACTACCACCACCACCGCAGCAACATCTCCTCCCACCAGCAACATCCTCGCTCCAATCCCTCTCAATCTCGTCCCGAGCCATACCACAAGTTCCTCGCTATCAACTGCATCTATCGAAAACAATCCGTTCAAGAAGCGCAAGGTCTCGCATTCCGAGACTGTCAATGTCCATAATGACGTGTTTGCGGTTTCTGGGTCGCCGCAGACGATAAGTATTCGTGTATGTATACCACCTCCCCTTCTACGGTTTACGTCGATGAAGTTGCTAACTCGGCACTAATGATAGTCCCATTCCGCATCCCTCGCCGAAGACCAAGACCCCTACCACCACCTCACACCCATCACTACCCTCTCCCGCAATGCTATTCCCTATTCGTGGATAGATTTCGAGCCGCGCGAACCCAAGAGCCAAAGTCAAAATCTTCCGGGGTGGTGTAATATATTCGTCGGAGATATTCCTGTCCTTGAGAACGAAAATGCCAAGGATACTGTCCTTGCGGTCCGGGTTGTCGGGGAGGCAGGGGTATGGGTGGTTGAGCGCGTCAAGAAGGGGGTATATGCGTTGATGAGACTACGGGGTGTAGGCGAAGGGGAGGTGGTTGTTGCGGCGAAGGCCAGTGCTGGTTCAGCTTTTCCATTCTCGTTCTCGTCTGGTACGGATCGGCGAAGAGGCAGGCAAGAGGTCAGGGAGTGGTGGGAGGTTGCGAAGATTGAGGATCCGGAGCCGGTTGTGCTTGGGAAGAGAGGACGGGGTGCTGCGGATGTGGAGGTTGTTTTTGCACATGTGTTTGAGAGTGATGCCAGGGAGACACAGGATGAGATGTTGCGCAGTGATGAGGGCTCGGAGGGGCCGGTGTTGCTGGGTGTTGGGGAGCAGAGTGGTGATGCTGCTGCTGCTGCTGCTGCTGCTGCTACTGCTGCTGAAGAGCAGGATGTGGAGGTAACGCAGTCACCGCAGGAGCTGCTGGATGGGCTGCGGGAACAGTATCTACAGGCGTTGTATGTCTCAAAGGTGAGTGGCTGCGCCTGTGCTCTGAGACGGTGAAGCAATACTAATAGTTGATGACAGACTTCCGTGGCTTACTTTGCCAAAGGCCCTCTGGCGCGTTGTCGCGCGGCATTCCAGTCCTCGGACAATGAGTCTGGAAAACCAGCCCAATTGGTCGAGTTCTACAGAGAGGCTATTCTTACGGCAAAGAGAATGGATCACAAGTATCGTGAGACTCTGCCGACTACGGTTCAAGATCTGCTGCTGAGTGTTTCCGACGATGAGGCTGCACCGCCGAAGCGAAAGCGCAGGAGCACCAAGAAGAAACTTGGCAAGAATGGGCTGTATCCGGAGGAGAGTGACTTGATTCGCAAGTGGTGGCGCGATCGTGCACTTAATGATCAAGGGCTTCCGTCCGAGATGTCCAGGGATGCAGAATCGAAGAAGCATATTGCGGACTTGCGGTTGCGCGAAACGCAACTGCAGATTCTCTTGATTCTTGAGACAATGGCTTTGGAGGCGATCATTGCGGATGAGAAGAAGCGTGAGGGTAATGGCGAGGGCGCAGACAAGCCTACGAAAACCGCCAAAGGCAAAAAGCCCCAGGACCTGAATGTCATGCTTGAGCTCCACCTCGACCGACTGTGCATCTGGCATGCCGTTAGCTTCGAGGAGACAGTGGTCCCGGACTCGGCCAAGACCAACCATCTATCTGGGAAGAAGGTTGAAAGTGATGCTGTCCGCGATTTCTGCACGGAGGTCATTGTCCCGTTCTACGCATCTCGTCTGCCGGACAAGTGCAAGCTGATTACTCGCAAACTTGGCGTCTCAACTGCAATCTCTCCGTTCACGAAGCAGTCTCAGACGAAGAAGACGCCCCGAGAACCAGGAACGCCTGTTGAGCGACAGCACGCTCAGAAGTCCCGTCGCCGCGCATTCCAGCGAGTGTTGACAGACCAGGCACCGTCCCAAACCCGACAACCTCCATCACTCAGTCGGTCTAATACAACCCCGGCTCCGACTGAAAGCCGACGAGAGTCTCTGGATCCTTTACTCCCCACTGTCAGTGCCAACGTGCGTGGCGGGATCCAGAAAGCCAAGCGCGTGGAGAATCGCGAAGTGGATCTCAACGCCGTTGCGCGCCAGCATGAGACTAAACTCAAGAAGATGCAAATGCTCGTGGACCAGAAGAAAGAGCTCGACGCAGCCATTCATGCTCTACGCAAACCAAACCGTGAGCTCGTGGCTAAGGATATCGCCGAAGATGCCAGCAAACGACTGTCCACCGGCGGCGGCAGCTCACGCAAGCCCAAGAATCCAGTGCGCAACCCTTACGGCCAAGGCGTGCAGGTGGCTGCCACGCCCAAAGGTAGTCGCAAGAAAGATGTCATGGCAGACATGCCTCCTCTTCCAAAGAGTCTCTCCCAACCAGCCCTCATACCCCAGGGATCTTCATCCTCCCCATTCACAAGCGAGCCGCAAATTGTTCCCGGCTCTAATATCCGACCCTCAAATTCAGGGCTCTTCCGATCTGCCGACGACGGGGCGATCCAGGAAACGCCCACGCGTCGACCAACCCAGCCTCTATCATCAGCTGATATCAGCGCATCGCCGAAGAGAAAAATCTCAGGACCCCTTTTCCGCGTCCCCAGCAAGCCAGCCCCGGCCCCAACTTCTGTCCCTGCCCCTGTTCCTCCTGCCTTTCGGGCCACTGAAAAGGGTCCAACCACGCCGATCGCAGCCCGACACGTGGACGCCTATATGCCCCGAGTCAAGTCAATCGGCTCAAGCAAGCCGTCCATGATTATGGAAACGCCTCCGAAACCGGCCATGGCCCCTGCTTTCTCGATTGCTTCTGCTCCTGCAGCCACTGAGCCGGCGGCAGTGGCAGGGACACCTGTGAAGGCCACGACCACGATTACTACCACCCCGGCTAAAGCGAATGTCTTTGCTACGCCTGTGAAGGGTGCAAGTGCCGCCCGATTAGCCGTGCCGACTGCTGCTCCGACTGTGCCTGTGACGCCGGAGAAGTCGATCTACGCACAACTGGGGTGGGATGATGATGATGACTTTGCATAGTGGCGTTTTACATTTTTAACTTCTTGATTGTGAAGTATGGGTTAGCGGGCGCTTGCATATTTGATTACTGTGTAGTACTTAGAACATAAATACCCTGTGTTGGAATTGAATTATAATAATTAGAACATATGCATGCAAACAAACTAAATTAGCATCATAGTATACCAAGTAATCCGCAATTGAATCATCCATTATGCAATACCTCTCCAGGGATTAAAAGTACATGGAACCCATTGATCTATTACCCCATAAAGAGTAATCAGTACTTTTCCACGATCAAAACCGCTGATGATGATGTTGATGGTTGAGGCTAATGATGTCGCCGCACGCCAATCCCTACCCTAAGTAAAGTTCATTACAAACCAGACCGACCCATTCATTCATTTATCCGCTCGCGTTTGGTGGCAACAACCCAACCCCTACCCCAACACACACACAACTCAACTAGTTGTTTGACCTATGACTCATTAATCGTCATCGAAAAGAAAGTAAAAAAAATAGACTGTTGGTTGTATGATTATGATGGCATTACTTTTTTTTTTCGCCTCCATGATGATGATGATGATGGGGATAGATCCAGATTGGGGTTTATCGCGTTACCTTCCTATTTTAGTCATGGGTGATGGTATCGTGAGTGAGTTGAGTCGTGGTTGTGCATAGCAGATCACGCCATGGCTAGGTATGTATGTATGTGTGGTGTATGTACTGTGTATGTTTGCTGGGCCGCGTGGCGGGTTGCCACATCTCTTTCCTTCTCTTCCTCTTCATGTGTGTATGTTATGGTTGGGTATCAGGATTACTGTATAGTAGTAGTATGTGTATGATGAATGCCTAATAGTAATCGCATGGGTGTGATAGTTTCTGGGATCGTGACTGGTTAATTACTTGTTTTATAGATAGATAGATTAATTAGGTGAGACGGTAAGGTAGACAGACAGGGAAGTAAGGTAGGGTATTAATGCTGCTGCTACTACTGCTGATGCAAATGCAGGTGCAGGGATACACACCCCTGCAGGGTTAGTATACTCTGCTATCTACTATGTATTTACTTACGGTATTGGCTGGGTTGGTTGCTAGGTTGGTTGCTTCGGATTCATTTATTTTGAATCGGTTTGGTCTGCAGAGTGAAGATTGTAATTAGTTGGTTGCATTGGTATGTACATGGATATGTATTTTTCTTTATTACCTGCTAGGTAGGTAAAGATGTATACTGTAAGTATGAAGAATATTGAGAATGGTATGGTATGATGTTTGATAGTTTGATTTAATTGTTGTGCTTTTAACTAAATACATGTTTGGTTATCCGTTCCAAGGTTCCTTTCCTTTTTGCTTTCCCTTTCCTTATTCCTTCTAACATGGTTGAACTCCGATGATGATGTTATGATGATGATAGTAATACTGATTAACCTTCGCACCAACTCCAAGCTAGCAAAGTAAAACCAATCAGTGAGTCGCTTGTTGACTCCGCCAAGTATGTATGAGCGAATGAGATTAAGACGGTAGGAGATTCGTAATTTCGTTGACATCGTGAGGGAGGATTATTAGAATTATGTGTTTCGGTGTGGTGTTGGTGTTGGTGGTAGGTGGTGAAGAAATGAGTTGTAAGAATGAGATGGGATGTGGCGAGGAGATGAGAATGTCGATAGGTAGAATAAAATGTGTCGCATCATAGCGACGTCTAGCCGGCAATGCGCACAGGCAGGCACTGGCCAGGAGAAGGCCAGAAGTTTTTCCTCTGGACGGTCTTCTCGAGACAATTGCGACCCTTCTCGAGGAGGCTTTCCTCCTTCTCTTCTTTGTCGGTAGATGTTTGAGGGGCTGATGCAGGAGCAGACACATGGAAGGTAACCTGGACGGTGGTCTTCTCAGGCTCCGAGGTCTTCTCAGCCGACTCGTTGTTCTTGGGAGATGACTGGCGGTCCTGGTCCTCATCCTTGCGGTCCTCGGGACCCTTCTTGTCTTCATCGTCGCGGTCCTCCTCCTCACTCTCGGATTCGTCGTCCTCCAGGTCGAACGAGTTGATGCGCGTCGACATATCCTTCTGGGTCCATTCCATGGACATGCAGTGCAGACGGAAGTGACCAAGGCAGCGACGAATGTCCGGGTCGGGAGCGGTGGCCTCCCGGGCGAGTTTCTGACGGGACAGGGTGGTGAGTTTGTAGGAGAGGGAGGTCCTGTCGGCCAGAGGGGGCAAGCGCTTATTCATGGAGGGGTTGTTGGAGGAGAGAGGAGATGAGGAGGGCTTTTTGGGCATGATATCGATGGCGGTGACGGCCATTGTGATGACAGTCTAGTAGTCTTAATTGCTACTGATGTGGTATGAATGGGTGTAGTGTGGTGATGAGTCAAGTCAATTGAATTGGAAGCAATTGCTTATAGGATGACTGGATGGATGGGAGTAGTGATAGTTATACGGCGCAGGAATAGTAATAGGCAGTCAGCTGGAGAAGAAGTTGGGAGCGACTGCCCAGTGGTGGAGGGAGGGGGTGAAGGTTTGGGGAAATAAGAATCTGGAGGGGAAGAGAAAGAGGAGAAGAGGAGAATAAGAAGAAACGAGTGGAGGGGAGAAGAAAAGGCTTAAGGGGGAAAGAGAGTGAAGAGTTGGAAAGGTTGGGTTTGGCTGGATCGTGACCGACGGAACACCCAAAAGAGAAAGCCGTCCTGGTGACCATCTGATCTGGCAGATTCTGCAAGCGGTTGATCCCCGGGTCTAGACTCGTACCACGATTTAGTTTACTACTGTATAGTGTATACTGTATGGTGTACTGCCTGTATCGGTCAGTTAGTCAGTCCACCGTGGCCGCCCACGCTGTCCCTCTCTTTTTTCTTTCTCTCTTTCGTAGTTCTACCATCTCGTGATGATTCTATGATGGGATGACTTTTCATTTTTATTATGTATCGCTTAACTTTGTTTCCACTTTACATCAATCATATTTTAACCTTTCCGGGGAGGGAGGGGGGAAACTGCGTATGATAGGTAAAAGAAGATTCTGGTATGTGACCGAAAGGGAATGAGAGGAAAGACTCCGGTCCCGCCAGTCCAGTCAGTCAGTCAGTCAGTCAGTCAGCCAGAGTGTACAGTAAGCCCCTCCCCAGACGTTACCAGGGAGAAAGAGCAGCAAGCAGGACAGAAATTTAAAAAAGAAAAAGGGCCTCGACTCGACTCCACTGGCAAAACTGGTCGGGCAGCTGACCTTTCCAGTGGGTCCGGGTCTGACGGCAATCCGTGGAATGTTCGACGCCGGGGGTCGTCCGCCCAGTCTGGCTGCCCTCACGATTTCTGGGAAATGCCCTCCGTTTTCTTGCCATTCGCGGCCAGTAACTCCCTTTGTCGCAAACAGAGTTCAGTCCTCGTCTTTCTACAACTCTCTACCACCACACTTCTTTCTCCCCGAACCAACTCCAACCAACCCCAAGATCTCTCTTCATATCATAGTTTCCTGTCGGATGGATGCAATACGGTTATTGCAAACGCGACCAAGCCATGTGCAGCTCCAGAAATCTGGAGACGAACACCCTACCAGTAGGAACGGTAAGGGATGGACAGGGCCTGTTACTCTGATTGGTCATGACTTGCGGGGTCGTGGACTATTGAGGACTAGTGTGCATGCTATACACAGTAACACTTGACCAAATTGGGGATTAGTGTGGGCTTGGGCAGTTAGGGTTGCAGGGGAAACACTAGGCCGGATTAAGTGGATTTGAGGGCTGTGGACCGTGGAGTCGGGAAACGCACATGATCACCTCCTTTAGTATGGGGGATTGGAGCCCGGAGTAATTAATCCATTCCTTCGTAAGCAATAAACCGTCAATCTATTAAGGCGTGATCAGCTGGACACGCGTTGGTTTCAGATTCATCTGGCGACCTTCTAGTCTAATGTTGTTCCCCCCCCCTCTCTCCCAGTCTCCCACTCTTCCCCGTCTCTCACCGACGGATCTACTGTTCTCCCCTTCTTTCTTCTGAGCAACCGAGGAGACGGCAAAATTATTTCCGTTAGTCACCCGAGGGACGGGGAAACAGGAAGAGTTCACCTTGAAACTAAACTAACGAAATCAGGACTAATCAAACTAATCAAACTTGGCTCGGTCTGGTGTAGCGGCTGAACTATCAACCTCGCGCCCTGACTAAGCTGTTTCCCTTCCAAGGCCGAGAACCCGCCAGACCACCGCCGGCCATGATGTCAAGACTCGCGCTTCCAGTTGGTTTCCCTGGCACAATCACCTTCATGACTTCATCCATTGTTCATTGTGGAGGTCCTCTCCATTGACCTGACATGACACAATGACTCTCTGGTACGGCTTGAGCTTATCTCTGCTCTATTTCCCTGTCTACCACTGCCTCGCTCGCTGCTCTCGTACTTTTGCCCCGCCGTGGGTCGTTTAGCGGACGTGATAGCCTGCGACTGTGCGCGCTGCCCCTTCCATAGTGGGAGTTGATCTATCAATAGTCGGGTGTCCAGGAGGGTCTACTGATTAGCCGCCGCCGACCTCGGTAGATACGGAGAAGATTCGGGACTGCAACGGACATCCTCCAGCTCGTCTCCATCTGGGGTAAATAGCTTCGGGACTGACTTCCCCGACTACAAGGCCAGTGACTCATAGTCCCGAAACCGGGGGAACCCTCTTCGCAAGAGACGAGTCACGATATCATGATAGCCGAGGGTTGGCCAATGCACTCCCATCAATGCCATTCTATCGAGTGACGGCCGGATGGTTACGTCCCGTTTGTTCCCGCCACTCGACCCCGGGAAATTCTCGTGGGTGATGACGGATGTCGTTCAGTTAAGCTCTCCTGATAACGGGGCTGCTACGGGCTGCTACGGGGTACTTCGTGGTGATTCTATTGGTCCTGCATCACAATGGCGTCGATCGTGAGATGATTGTGTCATTTATCGGTGGTGCTCTGTCGATTCGCCTCTCTGAAACCGGTGGTCTTCGTCATGATGTTTGCGTCGAACCACGACATGTGCTGAAGTCATGGTGGGCTTATCTGGGACTTTCATTGCCCAGTTAAAGATCTTTGCGATGATGATTGCTAGCCGAATACCATGTTCTGCTAACAAAGCACAACGGATTTATCGTATACACTGTTGGCGTGGATATCCTGACGTGGGATACAACCTGACGTACCCTTCAGTGGTTCCACATTGACTCATGACTTCAATTGCTGCAGACCAGTTGATGAATGCAGAACTAAAGTGCTGGATGATGCGGTGTTCAGGCATATCAGCAATGCTCGTGCTATGCTGTCATAATTTCAGACCCAATACTGCTTGTCTGATATGCAACATCCAGCACCTAGATCTTGCCTAGTTGAGTTGGTGAGCATTGGCGGAAAAAGTAGCTAACAGGGCAGGCATCGGGAGTCCATGCTTGGTGCAGGGCATAATATCAGTCAATCTACGCTCATGTCGTCAAGGTGCCATAAGGTGGCACCCTCAGCAAATTGGTTCAATCAACACCAGATGGTTTTCCCGACGCTGATAAGACTACCCTTCGAATGGCACGGAAAAATGTGTTCTCATTGGAACATCAGTCTTGGTTTAAAAGGCGTACGTGTCAGCATGCGCGGAGAAATTCACCCTTGTCGGTGTGCGCGGTCTGCGAACAACAACGACATTACGTGGCATCCTCGCCTTCAACAGCCTGGCTAACATGACTAGATGCGTTTCCTAGTTATACGTACAATTAGGACGGGCGGCCTGTCTGTATGTGACCGTTTAGGTCACAGGTACGGAGATACGAGCTACCTTCGCTTTGGACGCCGGGTAAATTGCAGTGCAATACTGTCGTCCATTCTGACATCACGCCATATGGCATGATTGATCCACGAGCTTGGCCAATCACTCAGATTTTCTCGTCTAGCCACGCCCGAGAACTCACGGTGACTTACGATGGATTGCTATCCTTGCATGTCACTTTCTTTCGCTAGCTCTTTCAAGTTTCATAAAGTCTGGTATGCCGAGTAGGTTGAGAATGCACATACCTCAGGTCATCGGACACTCCCGCGGACAATGATGGCATTTCATCCCTGCATTCCTTCGTGCCCTATTATCAAGATGTGACAACTGTCCCGATTTCTCGAAAATTGCCCAGCAGAGAAAGAAAAACAACGTTATGTCACTGGCCCGGTGTAGGTGTACTGAAGCAGCTATTACACAGACAACCACACATTGTGGACTAACTTGTAGGCAAATGCCTTCCTGCATAATAGTTACTGGAAATCATTTGCATGACCTTGATCATTGATATTCACCTCATTAATTCCACGCCATGAACTTGAGATATAAAGTGTCTTACGGTCCTACAATGACCGACTTTAGACTAACATCAGTGGAAGAGGACAATTATCAAGATTTGCTAATGGCCTTAGGCTTGCTATGCATTGGTGAAGAGCAACACGGAACGCGGCCCTTCACAATAATCAGAGAATGGCCTCTATAACCCCGCCATTGCCTGAATCACTTCGTATAGCTCGAGCTATAGCAGCTTTCTGGCACTTGAGAACGTCTCATCAATTAGCACCACACGATATGCCTTCCTAGATAACATGTTTAGCAGGATACGTTGGGAATGTCAGTGGCAATGAGAGTTATCAACGACAGCTAGAGCCACCGTGACTTGGGACAGTTCCTTCAGGTCATAACTCAGCTAATGGCATGAAAAGCCACCCACATTCACGGGATAAAAAATACTACCTCTATAGATCAATAGCAAGATATCCGAACAAGATAATTAACTACATATCTACTATATGTCCCAATTTCGCACAGGTAATAATGTTGCTTTGAGCGATTATTACTAGCAGAGTGGCAAACAGTCCCTTTTGACCCTTGGTTCTCCCTATCAAACTACTTAAACCTGACCTCAATTCAGTCGACGTTAAGTTGAACATTGCCTACTACTTGCCACAGAGTGCTCTATCCTCATACACTCACCATCAAATACCTTCCATTAGTATCATGCAATATGCCATGCCATACACGGTGTCACCTACTGAAACCATTTATATTGACTACAGCCTAATCGATGTATAAAATGTCCACATCCCCAGAATCATCACCACCATCACCTTCCCCTCAAATCCGACAAGAACCCACCATCCACTTCTATCTATCCCCATACTCATCTCCACCTCCACCTGACTCGATGACCCAAAATCATAATGGTAACATTGAAAATCATCTCGACCGCTACGAGAGATCCGCCTCTCTAACGGGGAGCATCCGCATTACCGTTGAATCTTCCCCCCTTTCTTCTTCTCACAGCGAGGTGAAATCGAAATCATCTTGGTTGAGATGTTATCACGACTAGATATACGGATTTGGTGTCTGTTTGAATGATTGATCAATGGTTTTATTGTGCTCCAGTCAGGACTTACAACGGTATTGTTTGGTGGCTAGTAACTATGCGGACTTTTAATGATTGAGATATGGGTAGTACTTTTATCATATAGAATAAGAATACCATAGGAATCCACTTTGTCTTAGCATCACTGCCCATATATAGACAAATAGATTCTATATGGGAGATTGAATTTTCCCAATTGTTCTTCTTCTTAAATCTGCAGAAATCATCTATCACATCCAGTATGGAGATAGTGATGGGGATATTCTGTGATTTCACTGGTTTCTGTCTAGTGTTGAGTATATATCTTAGTAGTTCATCGCTTCTCTAATATAGTCTAGGTTTGTTTGCCTCCGGATTTGGTTCTACTATATTTTTATTAGTATAGACATGAACGGGGCTTCCTACTCCTAGAATTCATCTTCGGTGTCAGATGGAATGAGTATCACTACATCACTTAGGCCACCGGATTTAGTATTCAGTAGTATCTACTAGCATTCAAAAGCTATCACTCTTAATAACGAGGACTGGTTTTTTCTCCCCTTTCTATGTTTTCCTCGGCTATGTATACCATATTGTGTGAATTGGTGTGGGATATTGAAACTGCTAGACTATAGTAACTTGAGCTGAATGAAAGGTCTATTAGGAAATCTTCTAGAATTTGCTAATAAGTCCAATATATGAGACTCCATCCAAGTTTTATTATGTGAACTAGTGTTATCTTGGCTACTACTACTACTACTACTACTACTACTACTAGGTGAGGTATAAAGAACGGGGGCTATGCTGTGCTATGCTGTGCTGCATTGTGAGAGACTTTGTGTAAAGGTATGCATTGTGTGGTACGAGTAGTAGATAGAGGGTATATTCTTTGTTAGGATAGGATGAGCATGTGTGTAACCGGATTAAAGTCAGCCGGTTTGTTGATTAGTTAGTATACTCTACCATGTCTCTTCATTTACAGATAATCATTGCGTTTGAGCAGATCATTAGGTTAGATAACTACAGTTCTGAAAGAACAAACATCTACTGTAGCAGATATCAAAGCACGTAGGGTATACCATACTACCTCTTACTCGAAGCCTAGCATCTGCAAGTGGAGCTATGGCAAAAGTGTCCTGCTGATGACATGCAGACGGCCGATTCCTTGTCTGGAGGGACTTGGCCCGGGCTTGGCGTTGATGCAGCCTGGTCTGTCCGTTCTTGATTTGATTCATAACGTTACTACTCAACTGGTAGTTGTACGTTGATTCCCCTACATGTCTCCGGACCTTGTTAGTGCGAGGCGACGAAGGTGACGCTGCATGCAAACGGGAAAGCTTGAATTGAGCCGACCCGTGTGTCTTGGTCGATTTATATGGCAGATAGCGGGAAGGGTTATAGTAGCAGCAGCAGCAGCTTGATGATAACAGATGCTGGCTGCAGATAATACTTAAAAGATGGTCGTTCGTGAGGATTGAGGTTTGGACTGGACGGCTATGCATGGTTCCCGATGTGTTGGTCATGGGTAGGAGATCTGGGGTTTGTGGTGGTTGGGTTGCTCTGAGTCGAGTCAGTCAGAGTTCTTTCTAGATTATCTACTTGCTGGTTACAGGGTTTGAGAGTATGTACTTTTTGCCACTTTGAAGGAATTGATTTTGTGAGAGAGTGAGAGAGGGCTTTGGTAGGGGTGGGGATGAATATGGAGATGGAGATGTTTGGTTAGTCTCAGAATTTGTTGATATGTGCTTTGTATGTTGCATGCATCGAATCAATCCATATCTACTGATAGTGAGTAAGTTATGTTGCCATTCTATTGAATATGATGCATCTGGCCCTAGAGTAAGTATGGATGAAGGTTGGCCCCGGAAGGCAAGAGAAGATACCAAAGTGACTGAACGGTAAAGTTACGGTCGGCATGACGCACGGTCCCTGATCGACCCTAGCGCCCGCGCTCGTGACCTTCCAGTCCGACTGGGTCATCTGCCCTCTGCTTTCCCCCTCCGCCACTCTCCGTGCCTCGTGCCCCCTTTGGCGCTGGAGTCCCAAGGATCAAACACTCGAAGCCACAGGAATGATGACAGTTCCTGAGCAATGACCGTTCAGTCTCAGCAGTCTCCAGCACGGGAAGGACTGAATTCCTGGAGTCGATCCATGGTCGGCTACAAGCCCTCGTTCAATGGGCATTATCAAATGTAACCGTTGTGGTCGGAGATGACTGGACTCCGGCCTGGGATTGTTCCGATTGCATTCTGCATGACTGGCGTAACCCTACCGAATGAGTCAAAAAAGATAAACAAAATGTATACCAGTTTGTTGCCTCGTTCTGCTGATGATCACGCAGGAGTTCCTGGACACAACAGCACCAGGGCCCCTACTATCTCCACTGCTTGCTTACTGGCACTGGATGTGCTTGAGCTCTCTGGCCAGTCGTTTCCTAAGACAGACGAACTCAACCTGGAGCTTTCTAGAGAAAAAAAGCTTTCATCTGGTTGCACAAAGCCTAAATATAACAGTGATTGCTGACAGGGACTCCCCTACCTCTGAGGCTGTTTTTCTGGTTTGCAGTTGGGAGTTCAATGGCTGCCTCGTTGAGGGTTTCATCCGGGGAGGCTTTGCGCTTACTTCGTGCAGACGGGAGTATGCATCAACACTGACTGGTATCTGGGAGGGAAAACACCCTCAATGTTCTCTGTAGGAATGAGATATTCCACAGTTTGATCGCCACAGGAATATGACCAAGTCTCCATTCATCTGGGGGAGTCATTCGAAGGTACCTCAACAGCCATGAGCATGAGATGATTCGTCACCGGGCCAGATACCAGGCAGTGACAATACCTGACGGGACCGGACAGACTTTGGCTCGAGGCAATCAAAAGCGAGGAGAAGCGCCTGTCTGGTGATTGGTCCTGAACGGGAATGGCGCCAGATGCCATCAGAGACCCTGCCCCAATCAGGAAACTCTGCCTGTTTCTCTCCCTTCGAGTCAGTATCGTAGAGCTGCCGGATTAGTCTTGGGAAGAGATCTCATCAGCCTGGGGAGAAGGTCTAGATACTAGATAGATACCACTGTGTATGCTGCAGGAAATTCATCCGTCCATCGGCACTCCGGCTCCATCGTTGTCTGTATGTAATTCAGGGCAGATCTGGGAGAGAGAGACTGAGTGAATGACTGTCTGACCCGGTGGATCTTCCTCATCCCTCATCCAGAAAGCCTAGTAAGTACCAACCCCAAGTAGGTATATACATATACACAACAGATTCCTTTTGCTACTCTTCTCTCTTTTCTTCTGCCCCTCTCCTGCCCGTTTCTTCACCTCGCGCGCTCAAGCACGCTCGCACCCCCCTCCATCTGACGAGTCATTCCCTCCGAATTTCGGCCCCCTCCATCGTCCTCATCCATCAAGCCACTCAAGGATTAGATAGGTGTCCCCCGCAGGGTTCTGCCTTCTTCGACCGGGAAGGGGATCTTCCGGGCGATCCAGTTGTCTTTTAGTAAGTCCAAAGGAGTTGCGTGGTAGTCGACGGGGGTTGGTCTTCTTGCCGACAGCCAGACAAAGGTTTGAACTCCCGTCTAACCTCGGAATAAAACGTGCAGCAGTCGAGAAAGCTAGTACTAGTTGGCCTGAAACTGACCAAAGAGCAGGACTGAAATCCTTCACCCTCCGGCGCTGTCGCTGACGATTGGCAGCCCTGACGAGAGCAGTTGGCCCGGTGTGCTGGATGATTCGTCCACGCCGCGCAGCCTTCTTCAGTTCTGTCTGTCTGTCTGTCTGTCGCTCTCGTTGCCAGGTTTGGCACCGCGTATCCGCTGCGCATCTACTCCCGAAAACCCACTAGGAAGACCAGCCTATTCGGGTAATTTGCATGTGCTTTTTATTCGAGTTCCTTCAAAGTCCGGCCAATCAATCCAGGGCCAACCACTTCCCGCGATCCCCGGAAAGCAGCTTGATAGTTAATTTCAATTCAGCGCTGCCCTTGCTATCGCGCCTCGTGTGTGGTCTGTTGCTGTGCAGTGTGCACACGCCGGTCCAGTTCAGTCCAGCCCAGAAGAATTCAGATCGAACTAGGCGGACATACAGATTACAGAGAGGTTCCATTCGGGTTGCGGAACCCTATCGCCGAGGCTGACCACCTTTTTCCGTATTTACTTTACTATCGCTTTTTGCTCTCGGCCCCAGCAGCGGCTGTCTCCGGCTCTCGATCCAAGGATTGCCCCGCCCTGGTTCTCAGTTCCAGCCAGCGAGACAGTTATTTGTTGATTGGTGATTGCGATTATTGTGGTTGAGATATATTGCTTTTTTGGGTGGGATTCTAGGCTGCCTGAGCCGGACTAATATCAGGAATTCCTCACTCTACGCAGGGCGCTCCGTAACATTCCCCTGCCGTTTCACTTTTGCCGGTGATTGTTTCCACAGACAAACATTGTCTCATTGGAGGAACATATTACCTGAAGCTGTGATAGGGCATTCCCCGGTCGGGATTCCATCATCCCAGGCTTAACCGCGCAATCGATCGCGATCTGTTTCACTGTGTACACAGTCCCCGTTATCAGCAGCAGCAGCAGCAGCAGCACTCTGCCTTTTCTTTTGCTGCAGTTGCGTACACGGGCCGCTTCTCAGTCCACTCCGATTCGTCTTCGTCGCGAGTATTTTCCGCGAGTCTGAAGGCTCTTTTTCTTGGACTTTCTTGTTTTTGTTGCCTTTTTCTTAATTTTAAATTTCAGCAACACTGCAGCTGCCGAGCTGCCACCAAATCGGAGGATCGGGGCGCCAGACGTGCAGGGGTCCAGTCCAGTGTCGCCTGGATTATCTTCCGACTAAGTTGCTTGGTCCTCCGGACGTGCGTCCGCGCTACCCGGCCATCCACTATCCACATGCCGGCCGCATCGCAAAGCAGCAGCAGAAGTAGTAGTATCTGGGATCAGCTAACGAAATCGAGCCTGGACTCGGGAGGTCAGTGAGTGAGTCGGTCTGAGGACGACGGCGTATTGATCGTCGTTGCTGCTGTGTCGAAGGTTTCGTGAAGAATCCTGTAAGTGATTAGATCTCTGGGGTCTTGCGCTTCTTTATCTACTTAATTTTTTTTCCCGTTGATCTGTTTCGCTTGGATTCTTATTTGTTGTTGCTGCGATTTATTGTGGTCTTTTCTTCATCCACCGCGAATCTGCAACTATCTGTTGTGTTTCGGTGGTGTTGCGGCGACGATCCCCGATTTGGACTGGGAACATATCGTGACCCGAGCAGCAGCAGCCAATCAGGGGTATTGTGGCGCCGCCTCCCGCCTTCACTTCCCCTCCCCAGTTTTGGATTTCCTATCGCCCGGGATTATTGCCTGGCGCTGTTCCCTCCCCCCCTTCGCTTTTCTTGTTCTTGTGTTTCTTCTCTTCGAATCCAAGTCTCCCGTTCCTTTCACCAAATCCTCCCTCCTCCACCCACCTTTCCCTTTCCTACACCCACTCCTACACTCTCCACCCCCTCCCCTTCTCGAACTAAATCCTTCTTTCACTTTTCCTTTCATCATCATCAATCATCAATCATCATCATCCCATCCTATCCATTCTCTCCATCTCTTGTCACTGCTTCTAATTTTCCTGGTGCGCCTCTCCCCCTCCCTCCCTCCCCCTCCATTTCCCCCTTCCCAGTCGAGTCTCCAACTTTCTTCCCCACCCCACTGCTCTGCCCTGTCCTGCCCGTCGTGGTTCTAACCCAATCGCCAACTGCGACCCGGTCTGGCACACGCACGCACACCCCCCCTCTCACTTACACTCACATACTACTCACATACTACTCACATACACACACACTTCATTACCCACGCACACACCACAGAATTCTCAGGCGGCCGGTCACACATAGCTTAACTCCCCCCGTCAACGGTCCCCACTGATCGGTTCCATCGGCGGCACGCTGTGAATCATCCACTGCCCATCTCCCTGTCTCCGGCATAGTAACCGCCCGCTGCTAGTTCTTCTTAGTGGGTGACGCTGCTTTTCTGCAGACAGGGAAACCTTGGGATACCCCGATCGATTGTGGAGGGGGACCTGAGAAGAGGAAGGAGCTCACAGCCTCATGTGGCGGTGGTCCTGGCCATACTAGCTTTCCCTTTCCTCACCAGCCACATTCACACTTCCCCATACACCATACATACACCCATCAACACTGTGCTTGCTCTGCAGCTTGTTATCTTGTACCTTGGTCTTATTTTGTGACGGTGTTTGTTGTTCTCTTCTATCACTTCTATCACTTCCCAGCTCTCGATCTTTCTAGATTTGTTCTTTTTTCCGACCGTGCGCTGTCTGCCTGCCTGCCTGCCTGTCTGCCTGCTGGTCGTTCATTCATTTTACTTACCCCCTTCACCGCCTTCATGATCTGAACTTCGCTTCCCCCCAAACCATCACCACCCCAGTCTGCAAAGCACCGATTTGCTCAAACCTTTCCGCTGATCCGCTTCCTGCCACCTACCAGTCAAATTCCCACTGCATGCGAGCCGTGGTCCGTCCGCTTTTTATCTGTCCGAGGATCACTTGCATCGTCGCAGCTTCGCCCTCCTTCATCGCAGTAGCCAACCAGGTCGCCATCTTCTTCCCCCCTCCCGGTTTGGCATCCTGATCTTCTTCGCGTGTCTCTAACGCGCCCGCAACCTTGCGACGGTGCCCTCCACCATCACCACCCACCACACCACGCCACCCTCTGTCCCGTCCTTCCTTGGCCCGCCATGTATAGCACTCCTCAATCCTCTGTTCCCGCTCCGATGAATGGCATCGGAGGGGAGCTCGTTGATGGGTCGGGGACGATCAATCCCGCTGCCCTGAATAATGGTATGTGACTGATGCTTTCTTCTTCTTCTTCCTTCAGCCTTTCGTCTGTTTGCTTGCTTGTGTCCCCGCTCGCTTGTCTTTTGTGTTCCCTTCCATTCTACTACACCTCCCCTCCCCCTTGTTTCGGTCCTTTCATTCCTTTATACTTTTCCTTTCCCACATCAATATTCCTATTCGCTGCCGCGCTTTTGACGGTGAACTTGTCTGTCGCCGCTCATGGAGGCTCAAAAATACTTCTCTATCACTCTTGCTTGTCCATCGTGACAGCCTCCAAACTGACGGCTTTCTACTAGTCGCCGTAGTGCTTCCAACCCCAACAACATATGGTGGCATTGCAACCCCAACGAGTATAGCTCCTCGTGGTGTGAAGCGAAGTCGAACCCCAGACCAGCGCGGGAATGCACGCGCGGATGGAGACCATGACGACGGTATGTGTGCGTCGGAGTCCTCTTACGATTCGCTTCGTGGAATTCCGGAAGCATGGGAGTTTCTTGGCATTCGCGTTCCCTTCGCGCGTTATTGTTGTTGTTGTTGCTATCTGAATGTCGCGCTTTTGCTTTTTCCCTACCCTTCCGTCCACGTGCATGTATAACGTCGCCTGGCGATCAAGATGGCTGACGCGTGGACCACTTCGGTCAAAATAATAGATGAACAAGGCCGTCGGAAACGAGGCCGTCCTCCCAAGACTCCGCGTCCGTCTGCGACAACCCCCAGCGATCAGACCCCCTCCAATGTTCACCTTCAGACGCCCCGGTTGCAGACTCAGCCTCTGCCGGCGCAATCTGCCGTCAATGTATCGCCGCCACAGGCTTCTCCGCCGGATAAGACTACGCCGACCAAGACTACGCTCGTCAAGGCCCTGCCTACCGTCCGGGATCATACGACCGACCAGCTGAACGAAGAGGGCGACGAATACATCCCCAAGGAATTCGACGAGGCAGGTGAAAAGAAGGTGGATGCCATGGGCTACCCTCAAGGAGGCCGAGAGTACAAGTGTCGCACGTTCCGCGTTCCTCTGCGTGGGAATAAGCTTTTCATGCTTGCGACCGAATGCGCAAGGGTGCTGGGTTATCGCGACTCGTATCTTTTGTTCAACAAGAACCGTTCGCTCCACAAGATCATCGCCAGTCAGATCGAGAAGGATGATCTCATCCAGCAGGATATCCTACCTTACTCGTATCGTTCGCGCCAGATTGCTATCGTGACGGCCAAGTCGATGTTCCGTCAGTTCGGCAGCCGCGTGATTGTCAATGGGCGGCGCGTCCGCGACGACTACTGGGAGAGCAAAGCACGGAAACAAGGATTCACGGAGGATGATTTGGCCGGTGAGAAACGACCCGGCGGCGCGAAAGCCCGGGATGCGGCGGCAGCAGAAGCTGCGGGCGCAGCCAACTTTCTACCCACCCTCACTCATGGCGATGTCATCTACAGCAATGCGCTGGAATCTGTGCCAGGTAGCCTGCCTCTTGGTCCGCCGTCGTCGGTTTCTCTTGCGCCGCCACTCCCTATGATCCACATGGCCACCACCACCGATGATCCCCGGTTGCGGGAGTATAACAGCATGCCTCGCCCGCGCCAGGAATTGACGGGACAGCCTTTCCAGGATCGCATTCAACCCAGCTCGGCCGCTGAAATCCTCAACCAGGCCTCACACACGGCCGAGTTCAACAAAATCCTAACGTCACAACGGAGTTTTCGCCAGAAGGGCTTGGACGACTTCTACGCCAAGCAACGGGAGGTGCCTGTTTCTGCGGCGCAGTCCCAGCCTGGTCAACTGGACTCGACACCGTCTGTGTCACAGCCCTTGCAGTCGCCACAGATGGCTTCCACGGGAATGATGAATGCAGCTCAGTCGCAGCAGCCCATGATTTCCCATCAGGCACCGATCATGTCTGGCCAGTCAGGTTTCCAGCAACCTGCGGCTCATCAGCAGCCACCTGTCGCACAGTCCCCTGTTCGGGGCGTTCCCCCCGTTCGGCCCGAGTTGATGCACCAAAGGTCTAATCCTGCCATGGCTGCCGGGACGCCTCAGCCGCCTGGACCTTACGGATATCCCTCTCAAGCGCAACAGATGTGGGGACAACCACCACCCCAGCCGCAACCATCTCCACTTTCTGCCGCTGGTCCTCAGGGCGTCGGCATGCCCCAGTTCCCGTCGCAAATGCATACGCAGCAGTCACCATCGCCGCTCGCACACTCCATGCCGCAGCAGCAGCAGCAGCAGCATTCGCAGTCTCCCCGGAATCAGCCCCGACCTTCGGCGCCGCCGATGCCTCAGAACTTTCCCATACATCCTCAGCAGGCGCCTCAACAACAGCCCATGGCATCGATGGGTTTCCCTGGTGTCACGGCTGCTCCGTATCCAGCAGTGACTGCCGCCAGAGGCATGTATCCTTCGACGCAGGGTCCTGGAGGTCAGCAGTTCATGGCGGGCACTCCCCAGCAGCCTGGTTTGGCCATGGGAATGAACGCTGGCGGTGCTATGCCGGGATGGCCTCCAGCTGGCCCCATGCAGCCCGGTCACCCGCAACCCGGGCAGTCCGGGACACCTCTGGGATGGTCCGGTTACTAGAAGCAATGTGAGATGGCGATGGCCGGCTTATGCGATTCGGCGTTGCGGTGATCTGGTGATGTTGATCTATGAAAAGAGATGCCCGTTTGACTTGTTATCTTCATTTCATCTTTCTTATACTGTGGGTCTTGTCCACTTGCTTTGAGATCGGTTACTCGCATCTTCCCGTCATACCCTTTTCATTGATGCTATATATTATCCTTGTCTCAAGGATGATGGCTAATGATAATCTGCACGCGTTTTCTTCTTATACCCTCTGTTATACCCGGTCAGTTATGTGTCTTGTTGATTTATCCGCCCTTGACTTGTTGTTTTGTCGGGAGGCCTGAAGAATGTTGTTCGATGTGCAGTTATGAGTGTTGTGCGTTTTTCATATGTCCATGATAGAGGGACGGTCAGATGGTATGGCGGTGAATGTTTCGTTCTGTTGGTCGGCGTATTACAACAGTCCATGTTACAGTTATCATTCTTCCGTGTCTTTTACTTTCTTAGCATCGGGAAACTTTCTATCTGCACTTCCCCACTTTCTGCGACACCCCACTGCTGTTACATTTTTGGGTACCCATCACTATTACTCCTGGCTTTACATTTTCTTCATTACTTACACATGGAACCACACCCCTCTTGTCCAGTTGCTGCTATCGTGATACTCTCGATGCTGTCTTTATGCTTATGCAGACCCAACACGGTTGCACACTAGGGGGCTATAATTTGACAAACCCTCGACAACCACCTTGTTCCTTGTAGATGGCTGTAGGAGCTGTAGGTTGCACTACTACTTTATCATTATCAGCTATGGCTATGCTATGTACACCCACTGTCTGTAACAGACCAATCGTAAGAGCCAGACTGCCTATATACAGTATATCCTTACACACACCCCCCATCCCACTCTTACCAGTAATACTAACCAGCAAAAGTAACCAACGGCGTCGTCACCGGCACCGCCGAAGAAGCACACACACACCCGGAACTAACAGACGTAACCGGCGGCGCCGTACAATGCGCACTCGTCTCCCACCTCGTCCCCGTCCCCGTCGGCTCCAACGCATCACCCACAATCTCCCCCCTCACCAAAACCGGCAAAACGGCCCCAGTCCTAAGCCCAAACTCCCTATGCCCCATCACCCTCAACAAACTCGCAATCTCCCCGGAATGACTCGTCACACTCACAAACATCCCCACCCCATCATCATCATCATCCCCTGCAAACACCTCATCAAGCGCAACCTTACTCCTCACATCCTGCGCCGCATTGCTCTCCGCCCTCACCCCATCCCACATCCCATCCTCCTCACTGAATCCCTTCTCGAACGTCCACTCGGGAAAGAGTGAATGGATGTATGTGGCGTTGTGTCGATGATCGCACGTATGCAGGGTGACACTCTCGCGGAAGAATTCTTTTATGACTGGAGTGAATGGGGAGGATGATGGTTGTAAGGGCAGGTCAGAGAAAGTGATGTTTGCTGTGCGCAGGGCGCGGAGGAGCGGGCTGACGAAGTAGGTATCGGGTGTGTGGATCCTCTGTGACGCTATCTGGTGTGACCAGAAGGAGTGGGCGATTTGCGCTTGTTGGATTCCGGACGGGGTGAGGTCGGCGTCGGACCAGGTTGTTGTGGAGTTGCCGGTTAGGAGGGAGTAGTAGCACTGTATGTAGTAGTAGTGGGGTTTAGTGGGTGGGATGATGAGGGGATGAGGTGTAATGTGTATAACATACATTCCAAGCGGGCGTGCCGTAGTAGGATTCTGCGGCGTTATGGTATCCTTCGCCGTGGCGGCCGAGGAAGAGGACTTTGTAGGAGATGGTTGGAGGGGAGAGGTGGTTTAGGGTGGTGATGTGGTGGTGGAAACGTTCCCATTGGGTTAGTAGGTTGTTGTCATTGTTAGGGTTGTCGGAGGGGTAGGTGCGGTTGATGAGGCCGAAGTTGGTGGTTGTCTGGACATATTATTAGGGGGAGGATTAGTGAGAGAGGAAATGGGGTAGTAGTACATAGTCGAATGTGGATGCGTCGGTGGAGGCCTCGTCTTGGAGGAAGTAGCCGGTCACGGTGGTGTAATTGATGTAGGAGGCTTGAGCGGTGGCTGTGAGAGCTATAGCGAGTGGTGCTATGCTGGAGAGTTTCATTGTGAGAGAGGAATCAGTCACTGCAGGACTGTGTGCTGAAGCTGCGGAATAGCAAAGTATCTCCAGGCTGGAGAGGGCTGTTATATAGCACAAGGTGGAGAGCCGACATGTCTGCATGATTGTTGCCGATGGACATGGCATGGTTGGCAGACGGCTAAACACCTACCAGTGCCGCACGTGCTGGGTGGTCGGACAACTAACCGGCTTGGAAGCAAGCCAAGACATCTATAAATTAATTGAGTCACGAAAGGTAAAAAAAATTCCAATGAAGCCAGACGGCAATGCTTTGCAGTCATCGCCCGTCCTTATTAGTTGTATTACAGTATGTAGTAGTGGTGGTATGGCAGTAGATACGTGACCCAAACAGGCCTCCAGTAAGTCCAAGAATGAAAGAAAAAAGCAGCCGCTTCCCAAAGCCCACATGCTATATATCCAAAATAATATTCAAACATGTTCAATCCCCAACCCTGAGGAACCAGATCGCAGACCGGGGTAGACGCCAAAAGAGAGACACCAACACGAATGCATAAGAACAACACAAGCCCTGGGATATATATGGGAGTCCCAACAGAAGCAACACTGAATGCCAAGAAGAGCAGAGATCCACTCTGGTTAGACCACGGTCGAGAAGCCGGGCATCGAGAAAGGTATTATATTACAGGCCACCGAGAATTTTTGACTGGCGAAAGGAATGGTACGTGCACAAAGTAGATGGGTTGGATGGTGCCGTGTGGCGCTCAAAAGTCGTTCGGCGTTTGATTGTTGAAGGTATAGGCCTTGGGCTTCTGCGACGGAAGCTGCTGCGCAACAAATCGGTGAGCTTCCTGCTGCTCCGGGAACTCGTAGATGTGGAACTCCGTTTGCTTCGAATCCCCACAGAATGCAGCCGACGTCGGCATATCGACGTCACTCGTGTGATACACGAGGGAGGGAGACCCTGTCACAGGTACATGGTCGGGCCCCTGTTCCATCGCCTGCTCATATGACATCGTTGTTAGATCCGCCTGCGGAAGTTGGCAGGGGCTCTGAAAGGATGCTTCAGGCGACGGCATTGACGTGGCATCAGTCCAGCTTCTGCCCGTCAGGGGAGCCTCGCAGGAGGCGTAATCGGCGAATGACGTGTAATGGGCAGGGGCTGACATCGGAGGGGCAACACCTTGGTACGGGTAGGAAGAGAGCACATCCACGGCCAACGGTGTCGCGGGAGGTGATGCGATGTTGATCTGCATCGGCTGTGTGGTAGGGAACAATTGGCTGGTCGGTTGCGCCGACAGGCAGTAGCCACCGTCGCTGGGAGTGGTTGGGAGCAGATGGTGCAGATCTTCCGGTGTCAAGGGTGTTGGTGGCGCCAAACCCCCTGTCGTAACCGCAGGTTGTAGCATGGACGACATGTCAGCCTTGGAGCCCAGAGCCCCAGCCTCGGCGAAAGTAGACAGATTGAGAGGGGAACGCTGAGCTGCAGATGCCTTCCGAACACCCGCATATCGGGTGTTCAGACCCTGTGCAGACTTGGATTGCCTCACGCCATGGCTGTTGCCGTAGCTCGGGAGCCTCGTTGAAGGTGACATGGTGGACGATCCCGTCAACATCGAGGACGACCTCGAGGTGCCAATGGCAGCAGGCCTCGGGCGCTTTCTCCGGGCTGCAAGGTCAAGTTCCTTGCTGGGTTCCTTCCAGGATGAACGGTCGCCTTCGTTCACAAGTTGCGAGCTGGGATGCGTGTTGATGCCAATCCCTTCCAATGTGTCGGCCAGCTCGTCAGAAGAGCCTCGCCTGGGCACCGACAGATCATGTTGCATAGGGTATTGCACACCGTTGTAGGAAACTTCAGCATCGCTAGCCGAACGGTAGCCAGAAAGAGACTTTGACGTCTGAAGCTGGTGGGACCAGTCTTCATTCTGGGAGGGGTGGAACTGGACGTTTTGCATCGAGTCATGGCCGGCGTCATGTTGAGTGCCGTCCATGCCGGGCATCGTCAGCGACTCCCCGGACGTCACATACCCAAGAGCACCCTGAGAACTTTGCGACGTCCACGAGATGGCGTTCTGTGAGAAAGAAGAGCTGAGGTCACCCTGCCCATGTCTGCTGCTATCGTGGCTGCCGCAGCGGTTGTTGGAGAAGGTTGTGGTTGGCGACACTGACCCATCCATGCTGGGGGATTGGCTGTTCTCGCCGTCCTGGCCATACCGGTCACGGGCAGCAACAGCAGCATTCAATGCCCGTTGCAGGGAAGCAAAGGTAGCCTCCCGTGCCGACTCGCTTCGGGTCTTCTGGTGCTTAGGCCGCGAGGACGAAGCAGCCGGCGTTTTCGTGCGCTCGGCAGTGTTCTCCACTGATTGTTTGGGGGTATCTTTATCGGTCTCATCCTTCGAGTCTTTGGTGTCCTCCTTCGAGTCTGAGCTCTCCGTGGACTCCGACTTGCCGCGAGCGGCTTCTTCGGCCTCGGCTTTGGCCTTTTGCATCTTCTCGAACTCTTCTTGTCTCTTTTGTTGCTTAGCCTTTGCTCGGCGATTCTGGAACCAGTTCTGCATATACGGTTAGTGAATGTACCGAGTATTCTGAGAGCCAATGGATAACTTACAGCAACTCGTGGAAGGCTCAGATTGGTTTGAGCCGCCAATTGACGCTTGACGTTGCTGCTGGGTTTGGGGTGCGCCTGAAATTGGGCCTCCAAGGTCTCAACTTGTTCCTTCGTCAACCTTGGGCGAGAGAGGTTCTCTGCATATTCTTCGTAGTCCATGATTGGTTGGTGGTAGAAGTCGACCATGTCAAAAGGCGGGTGAGGGTAGAGGTAGCCATCCATTGGATGCATCATGGACGGGTGGGCCATCGTTGGGTCGAAGGCAACCGGCTGCTCCATGGGGACGGCGGCATGGCCGGTAAATGCGTAGGGGTGGTGGAGATAATTCATGTTGTGTGAATCGGAGAATCAGAGTATATATAGAGATAGAAGGAAGAGTCAGGAATTGTCGGGGGTGTTGAGGTGAGGTGAGGCGAGTATGAAGGTATTCAAGGTACAGGACCAGTTGCTGCCAACAAGCCGCAGCTGTGACGAGGCAACTCTATACCATTGAACGGCTGAATCACAGAGAGAATATAGCTGGACAACAAGCCAGGAGGAGGGGAAGGCGGGAAGATAAGGACTTGAAGCAGGAGGGAGAGGAAAGGGAGGAGGGCGGCGGCGGGTAGTAGGGAATGACGGGACTGAAGTAGGCGGGCAAGCTGTCTGGGGTGTATACTTGCAGCCAGGTGGAGTTATAAAGGAAATCCGATGTAGTAATGAGAAAGTATGAGAGGTTGAATCCGGAGAGAGAGAGATAAAGAGTAATTAAAAAAAGAGAGAGAGGAGGGGAACGAAGAGCAGGATCAAGGAAGGTATAAGTCCGATGAAGACAAGGCCGAATAGGACAGCACAGAAAGGGAAAAAGAAGGAATGAGTTGGACTAAGCTGACAGGGAAAAAGCAAGAAAATAAAAATAAAATAAGTATTAAAAATTCAGAATAATGAAAAAATCTTTATTCAAAAGGGAAATAGTAGAGGGAGTGACCAAAATGGAAAAGGAGAGTAGGAGGTGAAGGAGAGAATTGAGTGAGAGGGACTGTAAAGAGAGTAGGCAGA